GGGAGAATTGCTTGAGCCTGGGAGGTGGAGGTTGCGTTGAGCCAAGACTGTACCACCACACACCAGTTTGAGAGACAGAGTGAGACTCTGTCAAAAAAAAAAAAAAAAATTGGCAAAAGATCTGAATAGACATTTCTCCAAAGAAGGTATACAAATGGCCAATTAGCACATAAGAGAAAAGGAAATAACTCGAAATAACAGTGAGATACCAACTCATGCCCAAAATGTTGATGGGGCCATTGAGAAATCAGAACTCTCATATACTGCTGGTGAGATTATAAAAACAGTGTAGCCACTGTGGGAAACAGTTTGGCAACTCCCCAGTGGATAGAGAGTTATTATATGACCCAGAAACCCCACTCTTAGATATATAACCAAGGGAAATGAAAACATCTATGTATGTCCAAAACTTATACAAAAATGTTCATAGCATTATTTCAAAAACCCAAAAAAGGGTGAAGCACAGTGGCTCATGCCTGTAATCCCAGCACTTTGGGAGGCTGAGGCAGTAGAACTGCTTGAGCCTTGGAGTTTGAGACCAGCCTTGGGTAATACAATGAGACCCTGTCTCTACAAAAATAATAACATTTTAAAAAATCAAATAGCCAAAAAGTAAAAACTGCCCAAATGTCTGTTAGTTGATCACTGGACAAACAAAATGTGGTACATAAAAGACCACGTGTTATATAATTCCATTTGTATGAAATGTCTTGAATAGAGAAGTTTTAGTTTTAGCCCTTACGTTTCTATGATTAAATTTTTTGTATTTGGTGTGCAGTAATCATTGGAATTCATTTTTTTATCATGTGGATATCCAGTTGGCCCAGTGCCAGTTACTGAGGAGTCTAGGGTGAGTTTTGCCAGCATTTTATGCCACGGTGTGACCTCACTGATGTCATCTCTCTATAGACCAGAGTATCTTTCAAAACAGAAAATGTTACTAAAATACAAATGAAACCAAGACAGAAAGTAGCCTGTTGGTTGCTTATGGCTGCACTGGGAGGGGGGTGTTAGGGGACTAGGGGCAATAACTAAAGGGCACAGGGTTTTTTAGGGGGTGACGAAATGTGCTGGAATTAGAAACTGGTGACGGCTGCACCACCTTGTGGATATACTAGTACCCACTAAATTATATACTTTAAAGGAGTTGTGTCTCATATAATTTATATAAATTTTATCTCAATTTTTAAAAAGTCATTGAATAAGCCAGACATAATTTTTGGAAAACACAAAATGAGTTAACATATCTGTGGACACCCACGGGTAGACTTAAACTCAGGATTCAAGGTTTCTCATTTAAGTGAGAGACATAGCATTCCTCTTTGGTACTGCACTGAAACATAATACAAGGTTGGTTTTCTGTAAAGCCCTGCTAAAAATTCTGTTCCCTTTGGACTAGCATCCAGCAACTATTGCAACAGCACAGTGGGTTTCAGGTGTAAAACTGGGGCTGGATACCAAATTGCCAACATTCTCACAGCCACCATCTTTCTATCGTAAACACCAGGAGAGCTCTCAAATGCAGACTCCCCGCATATGGCAAGCAGCTGAACAAACACCCACTTGAATCACTGCCTCAGCATTTCTAGCTTAGGACAAGTTTTCCTGTGGATGGCTGGGGGCTCCAGGGGGGAAGCGCCAGTGCCTGCCAACCAGTTAGTGTGCACAACGAGGTCTCCCAACAGCTGCCCCCAAATCACCAGCTTCATGACAATATCCACAGAAGCACAGGTGTCCCCTTCATTTTCCTAATAAGATAGAACTCTCAGGGGTGTGCAGGTCCCTCAGGTGCACTAGGAAGAACCATGCGTCCAAGACTGTCCCACAAGGGCCC